TACTATTGATGTGTTTGATTATTGTTTTATTTATTTATCAAGGGACCCAGTGCTATCAGACTGTTTTTCTCTTACTTTACCAAAAGAAGGAGAAATGGGAGCAGAAGCCAGAGGCTTAGCTAAAGAAGCTTAATAAAAAGAGATTTAATCATGTAAAAAGGAAGAGAAGAAAAACAGATGTCAGGGGGGGGAAAAAGTCACATCTGAGAACAGAAGCAAAGGCCCTTTTGACAGAATTCTTGGATCTGTTCTGAACATTCAAACTGTGCCTACTGGCTCAAAATGGTTAAGAATTCTTGTATTTGACAAATGAAGAAAAATCAAGACAAAAAATCAAGGAAGAAAGAAGTTGTAGGAAGAAAGAGATACTTTTAGCATTTGGAATTAAGAAGAATAAAATTATATATCAGCCAGGAAGGTTACAAACGGTGATCAAATGACCCCTGTGCAACTGTCATAAATACATGCCAGTTGCCAAGCACCCAAATTTTGATCACGTGATCATGGGGATGCTGCAGTGGTCGTAAGTATGAAAACTGGTTGTAAGTCACTTTTTTCAGTGCCATTGTAACTTCGAACAATCTCTAAAAAAGGGTTGTAAGTCACAGACGACCTGTGCTAAGTATGCCATCCCAGCTTAGCTTTCGGACCCAGGCAAGATCAGCAAGGAACTTCTATTTACTAAAACTTACTTACTTACTTTCTTTGTTTCTTTCTTTCTTTCTTTCTTTCTCTCTCTCTCTCTCTCTCTCTCTCTCCCTCTCTTTTTCTTTCTTTCTTTTTTCTTTTCTTTCCTTCCTTCCCTCCCTCCCTCCTTTCTCTTTCTTTTTTTCTATCTTTTTCTATCTTTTCTTTCTATCTATCCTTTCTTTCCTTCCCTCCTTTTCTTTCTTTCCTTTCTTTTCTTTCTTTCCTTCCCTCCTTTTCTTTCTTTCCTTTCTTTTCTTTCTTTCCTTCCCTCCTTTTTCTTTCTTTTCTTTCCTTCCTTCCCTCCTTTCTCTTTCCTTCCTTCCCTCCTTCCTTCCTTCCTTCCTTCCTTCCTTTCTTTCTTTCTTTCTTTCTTTCTTTTTTATTTTTATAGCCATCCATCTCAGTCAAGTCATTCTTTCAGATTAGACAATATTCAGAATTATAGTTTATTCTGTTTATAAAATTTGTCATTCAGATCTTTAAAAAAAGCTTGCATTTAGGTGAGATTAAAAATAAAAGGTAATATGAAGAGCAGTATGCAGCCCTCAAGGGATAAAGCATGTTGCAAAAAGAAGCAAAGACATTTTTCAATATCTTAAAAACTTTGAAAAAGGGAATGAAAAAAGGTTTGCACCCCTTCTTGACAGTCTTCCATGGCTGCTAAGATCACAAACAACAATCCTGCTCTGTTTACCCAACATCAAATAATTTCCTTTTGCTAGGGCTGCAGCTGTGAGGTTTGTTTTGAAATGCACTCCGTGTGCTCCAATCCAAGCAATGGATTTCAGAATTCCACCCTTATCTCTTTTGTTTTATTTAGCTCTCGCCACACAACTATTTCTATATGCACAAGAAAAGCTGTTGCAAACATGCCACTGTCAACAGTGTTTGCAAACTGAGGAAAGAATGAACGTGCACTTTCAAGTGTAGTCATAGCTTTGTAAAATGGCATAATCACTTTTTTTCACATTAATAATGAGCTGGGAGCTAGTTGAGCAAGAGGAAACAGCTTTGGAGCAGGCAGGAGAAACCCAAAACCAGAAGCTGTTTTTATTGAGGTTCTGGTACACATTCTCCACTGCCTCCAATAATCCCAACTAAAAAGCTATCCTTTGAACTGCAAAAAGTAATAGATTAAAATGACTTCCTGGGTCTATCATGCCTGTTTTTCAATATACAGGGAAGATGGTTTTATCTCGTTGGGTTTTGAGTTTATCTTTCTTGTAAGATGTTAACTTGCTGCTGCTTGAATGCTTACTTTTGCTTGATTTGATTTGCTTCTTTTATATTTAAATTGTGAATGTGTTTTGACACAAAGGTAAAAAAAAATTATAATCTCTCCTTCTCTCTCCACTATTCAAGGACAAAGTCCTGCTTTTATTGTGCAACATAACTGTGGGGAAAAATTCTTTGGAAACTTTGGGGAACTCCCACCATTTGAAGAATCAAACATCTTTAAAGGGAATTACTTCCAGCCCCCTCCCCTGAAAACACTCTAGGGGAAACTGTTCTCACCAGTGAATGAATGAGAAACGGAGGGATGGGGGGGGGATACAGGTAGACCTCAACTTATGACCATAACTGAGCCTGTTAATTTATGGTCAAAGACATGATGGTCATAAAATTGATCATCATATGACTGGATCTGATTTTACAACCTTTTTTACGGTGGCCATAAAGCAAATATGGTTATTGAGCAAACACCATGGTTGTTAAGCATGACATTTTGGGGGGAAAAAATTTCCAGGAACTGAATGTAAACAACCAGTTTCTAGACAAAATGTCATAAATCATGGTCATATGACTATGGGGCATTGGAAATGGCCGTAAATTCTTTAGTGTTCAAAATGCGGTCACATGGGGAAGGCCAACATCAGAACTTCAAAATTAGGTTGTAAGTAGCTGTTGAGGGGTCCGTCATAACTTGAAGGGTTGCAACATGAGGACTACCTGTGTGATATCGGCAAAGAGGAATGAAATACAGTAGAATGGCTGGAATCCCACAGAACAAGCACTCCATGCAACAAACTTTCTGAAGCTTTTTCCAGATAATGCATGTTTCCTCTCATTTGCTGAGTTAATGGGAACAGTTACAAGGAAAGATTGAATAGCAGTAAATTACGCTTAACTTCTCCTGTCCATGCACATATGTTCTCCTTTGCTCTGGATAACCAGACAGACAGACCTATGGATTTTGGAGAGAGAAATGAAAAACTAATTATAGAGGGCATTTATAAGAGAATGTGGACAGTCAGAGGAAGAGCCCCTCCCTGCTCACAGACTCTCTGTCAAATCAATTCAAAAGAGAAAAGGAATGCAGAATGAGGAGAACATCGAAGAGATTCAATATTAATATAATTTTATTGCAATTTTAAAAAAGAAATGCAGAGAAAACTCTATACAAATACAAATTTAAAGAAAAACAGCAAAGTACACCCATTTAACAAATAGTATGGTCTCCAACCTGCTCACTTATTATATAAATGGGTCAAATTTCTGAAAATGCTTTTATTGATCTTCAGTTATATAGTGTACAAGCAGTTGTTCTTATTTGAGTTGTCTAAGGCCTAACAAAAACCTGGCTCAGAAAAATCATAGTCCCTGTGCACAACATTTTTAAATGTTACTGTTTATTTAACAGATGGGTTTTAAACATGTCTAAGTCAACCTGGGTACATCTAATTCTATATAGATTTGGGCTGCCTAGTAAGAGTGCGCACATCTGTCATTTTGTAGCTGGTTTGCCACTCTGCAAGAAAAGCATTAAATTTGCTTTCCCTTGTGACCATCGAAGTGGTTTCCTTGTTGCATAAATTGGAGCTAATGAGCAAATGTTATTTATTCTCTGCTTAAGATAATTGCCAGAATGTACAATGAATGATTATGGGTTGAAAAGCAAATGTCTGGCAGTGCGATCTTATACTTGTCTATTCAGAGGGTAAAGTCTGCCTGTTCAACAAATATAGAATTACAGTTTAATTACAAGAGATGAAAAATAAAGAAAGGGGGATTTTTTTATCAAAGAATCTGTTGTCTGTAAGTTAAGCAAAACTGTCCAGCAAAGATCTATCTACTTACCAGTTATAAATCTCCACTAAACATACTTCTGAATAAATGCACTCCACATTGTTCTTAGAGGATGAAGCTTCGTGTTAACTATGAGTAAATTATTAAAGTAATAGATGTTGATCTGGAGTTTGAGAATCTGCATCAGTTGATTGAAAATTTTAAACTAAATATACTTTAGTAGCTTGTGAGTTTTATACCAAAATCTTTCTCACCTAAGGAGGATTCAGAACAATTGAAAGAACTTCACTTCATAGAGGTTAAGGTAGTCCTTGTTTAATGACCCCAATTGGGGCCAGAATTTTCATCCCAAACTGAAGTAGCTGTTAGATGAAGCAGTGTGCGATTGCATCACCTAGTTATGGTAGTCCTGGTTACAGCCATTAGATGAGGACCTCCTGCTTCTCCTACCCTGCTGTGCTCATCTCTGCTTCAATTTTTCCACCCACCTATCTTCCCCCCATCTCTGCTCTTTTGGCCACCCTATACTCCACCGTTGCTGCATCTCCAGCCCAAGCTGACCTTCACTATCTTCTTCCTCCTGCTGGCAACGAGGCACATCTGGATGAGACAGCTGCTGGTCCTCGGTGAGACCTCTATACTGCCTTCATGGAGGCTTCACCAAGAGCTAGCAGCTGCTTTGGCTGGATGTGCATTAATGGTGGTGGGAGAAAGAAGACACTCCTATGACTCACAGTGGAAGGCAGTGGCGGTAGAGCTCAGGCGAGCCAAAGGAGAGAGATGGGAGGGAGATAAGCAGGGGGGAATTCAAATGCATCCTGCAGTCCTAAATGTGGACAGGTTCCCTAGCACCCAGATTTTGATTGCTTGACCATAGGGGAGTTGCAGTAGCTTTAACTTTGAGCTGTGGTGGCAGAGTGGTTAGAATGCAGTATTGTAGGCTAACTGCCCACAGTCTGCAGTTCAATCCTGACCGGCTCAAGGTCAACTTAGTCTTCCATCCTTCCAAGGTTGGTAAAATGAGGACCCAGATTGTTGGAGGCAATATGGTGACATTGGTAAACTGCTCAGAGAGTGCTGTAAAGCACAATGGAGCAATATATAAGTCCAAGCGCTATTGCTATTTGTGCTGTTGCTATTGCCTCCATAAGTAGCATTGGTTCAGTACCATCATAACTTTGAGTATTCGCTGAACAGATGATCATTAAGCCAGGACCATCTGTCATCTATCTTGTATAAAATAAACTGTTTCTTAAACTGACATTTTCTTAACTTATTTACAGAAACATGAGTTCTGCTGGCCCTGAAGGGAGAAAGAAAATGAGGGAATGTGATGGATTGATTGACTCTCTGGTATATTATATACAAGGAACAACTGCAGATCGTAAACCAGATGATAAGGTAACTTTTCCAAACCATTGGAATATCTAGGATTAAGATAGAGGGCATTTATTTCTGGCACTGTCTCCAAAGTGTGTTAATATTCATCCTGTCTTATAAATCTTCTAATGACTTTATGATGTGAGTTTTGGGGACATTATGATCTTCTAAAAATCCTTGAAAATCCAGTTGTTTTCTCAGACTTTAAGGTAGGGTGATTGCTGAATCACTGTAGCTTATTCTCCTCTGGACATCCATGAACTCTTTCTTATTATTGTTTCTTACTTTTAAATTGTAAACTGCCCAGAGTTGTTTGGAATCAGGCAGCTGCTAAAGAATCATAAATATATCTCCAGTTATAAAATTCTTAGTCCCGTGTTAATATATTCTGCTGAAAACAACCTGCTTGAAATTACCCAAAAGCACCCCAGCAAAGCACAAATACAACATATGCTGAAATACTACCAGAGATCTACAATTTTGCATCCTCTAGAGCAGTGTTTCTCAACCTTGACAATTTTAAGGCATGTGGACTTCAACTCCCAGAATACCACAGCCAGCATTGCTGGCTGTGGAATTCTGGGAGTTGAAGTCCACATGCCTTAAAATTGTCAAGGTTGAGAAACACTGCTCTAGAATGCTGCTCTCGTGTTCTCAGCCATAGTGTTGGTAATGGTGGGAGTTGCGGTGCAACATGTCTGGGTGGTGCCAAATTGAAGAAGTACGGAGAGTCTTATCAAACCTAGACTTTTGGCTGGGCTTGTGCACTCCAATGTTGTCTTCACTTTCTCTTTCAGAATTAAAAGGAAAAGTTTAGAAGAGTTCACCTCTGTTGTTGATTAAGTATAAAGTGTCCATCCTCCAGTTCTAGAACAGTAGAAACTGTAATAGGTTAAGTTTTAGCTTAAGAGATTTAGCTTAACTGCAGTATATTTAAGATTTAAAGGAGTAAAATTTAATACTTGTAAGTTCAACCCTGTGTGGCAGTTTATTCAGGTATGAAATGAATTAAAATTTCTCATCTTTTACTAGTTGTTCTAAGTGAATCTAAACACACAACTCCATCCATCCATCCATCCATTCATTCATTCATTCATTCCAGTGATTTGAAATTTAAAATTTGCAGTAAGATTGCTGCTATGCACAACCTACTAAGAGCTATGAAATAAGGCCAACGGTTATCTGTATGCTTGAATCTATAGTACATTCCAGATCTTTTCCATTATTTACATAGAGTAATATATTTGTTCATTTTTCCAGGCTACAGAGAATTGTGTGTGCATTCTTCATAATCTTTCTTACCAGTTAGAGACTGAGCTCCCTAATAATTACATTGAAAAACTCTATGTGCGAAAAAGAGATGATCCATCCGGGAACAACATTGGATGCTTTGGAACAAAGAGCAGGAAAGCAAAGCAGGTATTCAAGATGTAAGGAAGGAACAACAGTTTGTGATAGACTGCCCAGCATCTCAGAGAAGCTTTTGTCTGCAACTCGTTAACCACAATCAGATATCCCTAGAAGGATCTTACTGGGAATCATGGAAATTTTAGTCCCAATAGATATGATACTTGAAGGTTGGCTAATATAGAGTATATATGTAATATGCAAATAGGCTGGGTGAAAAAGATAACTTAAACATTAAATAGTATTCATAAAATAAAGATAAGCAGTCCTTGATAGTAAGGGAAAAAATCTGAAAAATACAGATGGAGATTATTTTGATGGACGGATAATTGTCATTTTCTCTTAGCAGCTACATAGACAGACCTTCTCCAGGATGAAATATTTTGTTAGGTCTAAACCAGAATGCTATAGAAAGCTTGCTAACCTTATAGAACCATGCATCAGGCCTGATAGTATAAAATTAAGGTATGAAATTGTGACCAATTTTATAAGATTTCAAGACAGATTTGTTAATCTAGTTTCTGGTGTCTCCCCACCCCTAATGTTCTATGGATCTAACAATTATTTAATATTATAAAGATGGAGCCAGAGTAACTAACAGAGAGATATAAAATCATATAAAACTAGACACATCACTGAAGGCTAAAATAATAAGACTATTTTTGATTTATTTTGGCCATGTTATGCTTGCAAATTCATTGGAGAAGGCAATGATGCTAGGAACAGTTAGTGGACAAAGAAGAAGAGACAAATAAAGAACATGCTGGCTTGATAACATCAAATCTAATGCAAAGTTGAACAGGCAACAATTGAAAGAAGCTGTGCTTGACAGGGTAGCATGGAGAGCATGTGCCTATAAAGTCACCAAGAGCTAGACACAACTAAATGGTTAAAAACAACCTAAATTTTTCTACCTGATAGAAAAATATAGCCATTAGATGTGAATTTCTTTCCTCTTTAAAGTATACTGTTTTTTGAATGAAAGTAAAGCTGTTCATCCCCAATAATCATGAATAATCAGCAGATGCAGCAATAATCTATTTTCTCTGGTTGTTCTTAATGATTAGGCTTTACATGGTTGCTCAAATAGGGGTTACAGAGGCTTTATGCACTATTAAACCCACACAATGATTTGCAGGTAGGCATTAATCAAAATTTAGGACTGTTGGTCTCTATATTTTACTAGCTATCATTAAGGAGCCAGACTAGCTATACTCCAAGAAGACTTTGATTCTTTCTCACTTCATTTATGAAATATTGATCTGTTTACCTTTTTAGAAGCAACAAGATTTGCCTCTTCCGGAAGAAAAGAGTAACCCCAAAGGCGTTGAAAAGCTTTGGCATTCCACACTGATCAGGATATATTTGTCCCTAATAGCAGAAAGCACTAGAAACTTCACTCAAGAAGCATCTCTGGGGGCTCTGCAGAACCTCACTGCTGGCAATGGACCAGTAAGTATCTAAGAAGGAAATGGATGTAGCTGGTATTAATGCTGTTATTTTACTATTGTTTCTCTTGGATAAACTCAGAGCAGCACATAGAGAGAGAGAAAAAAAAGCATATAATGGAGCCATAGGAAATAGAACATAATGATTAAACCAGTACAACATTAATCTAGTCAACAATAAAGGCCTGGATAAGACTAGTCAGTGGACATTTATAAATTGCCCTGCTGGTACCTAGTCTCATTTTATTTTAATATTTGGGAGGTGTCAAATATCTAGAGGAGACTACAAAGGAAGGGCTGGTCTCAAGTTGCTGTTTGTCTTTTAATTGTTAAGGATATCTAGGGAACATTGATACCTACCTTTGTAACAAAGATGGCTGATTTATTTCATTTTGAGTTGCTCCTAGACAAGGAGGATGGAAAAAGAAAGGATAGAAACCATTTTATCTGGAAAACATGAAAATGTAGATGGCCCAAGAGAGCTGAGAATGATTAGCATAGTGAGACGAGGAAGCAAAATGACCAACAGGCTAGCTTTGCAAAAGGAAGATAAAGAGAATAAGCGAAGAGTTTGCAACTAAGTGAAGTTAACAGGACATCCTAGGAAGGTCCACCAGCACCAAAATCTGCTATACCAAGTTGGGTCTCACTTATTCGTCTTTCACCATATTTCTGTAATTTGAGTATGGCTTTCGGTACCTAGCTTGTGATGCTTCAGCTTCGTCTGTAGTCAGACATTTCTATCGATACCAACAACACTATTTTTGAAAAAGAATAAATTGACAAAGCAACCATCCAGCTGAAATGTATAATTTGGGTGTTGTATAATTGTATAATTTGTATAATTGTATAATTATATAATTGGGGTGTTGCTTGGTGGGTGCTTTTCTTTATTTTTGCACATCATTTCCCTTTAAAAACAAAAGACTTTAAGTGAATTCCTATGCAGTTCCAAGTCTGGGTTAAAGGCTTCAAGGACATTTCTAGATCTATTCTCCTAGCATCCTTTCCTTCCCAAGGAAACCTGGAATTCCTGACACAGAATTCTTCTTCGGAGGTGGGGATGTTTTCTTAATACTTGAAGTGCCTTTATTCATGGACTGACAATAATAATAATCCTCTTTCTGGAAGAAAATTATGCACTGTGTACAATGCTATGATATGGAGTGGTGAATTCCCTAAGTCTGAAAGCTGTATGTTTTTCCTGACAGATGCCATTTGGGGTGGCTCATATCATTATCAAGAAGGCCAATGGCCTCCCAAATATTCGAAGCATGCTACACGTGAGCAACTTAAGCGTTAGGAAAACAGCAGTGTCCCTACTCAGAAACTTGTCTCGTAACACCTTGCTGCAAAATGAAATAGGTAAATACACACTCCTAATGGACATTATTTGCATGAGTTTTAATTGCATGATAGGATGTTAATGATGTTGAACTAGACTTTTAGCAGAACAGTACCACTGTTTCTTCAATAAGCTATCAAGGCTGAGTGTGAATTGCATCCAATTTTTTATTTTTTTTTGAGGTAATAAGTTTGATGTGTATTGGCTGCAATGACTAGCCACAAGACACTTTTCAGGTTTTTTGGGGAATCAGAGTTGGAAAGGTATGGTGGTGGTAGTTTTTGGCAAATTGTGAATCTCCAAATGTGTTGAGGGCCCAAATCGCAGAAAATCTGCTGTCATTTGAATTTTAGGATTTATCAAGCCCTACAAAATTGGGAGGGCTTCAGATTATGGAAGATTGGCCAACGCTGTTATCCAGTGACATGCATTCTCTATCACTGCTTAATGTTCATACCAATTTAACTGTTATGACCCAGATGGTCAAGACGAGGCAGGCCTCTAGAGCAGGGGTGTCAAACTGCCGGCCCGCAGGCCGGGCGCGTCATGCATTGCCGGCAATGGCAAAACTGTCCTGATACGTTGCGCGACGTCACGTGATGTCGCGAGTTTGACATGTCTGTTGTAGAGAATCCTTTATTGCTCTCAGTAAATGTTCCAACAAACGGCCCTCCAGCGACCGGTAAGGTTCCACCCCCACATTACCCTGCAGGCAGCCACCCTCAGTCCCCCAAACAACAGCCCATATATTACAAAGAAAGTCCACAGAGTAGGAGCACACTCAAAGGGCAAGGTCCAGGGTCCCAAGTCCAGTCCACCCAACTAAGCAAGTCCATGAGGCAAGCTGTAGTCTGCAAGGCAAGGTCAATGCACAAATGGCAGTCCTTGGGGCAAACACACGGTACAAGGCAAAAGGCACTTCTCAAGGCAAAGCAAAGCAAAGGGCAAAAAGCAGTCCTCAAAGCAAGAAGGGCAAGGTACAAGACAAAAAGCAGAAGGCAGTCCTCAAGGCTAGGCAAAGCAAAAGGCGAAAACAGTCCTCAAGGCAAGAAAAGGCAAAAGGCAAAAGGTACGAGGCAAAGCCAGGTGAGTGTAAACCAAAACAAGCAATTATTCCTGGCAAAGACTAAAACCCCACTGTTTCTCCTTAAGTCAATCGACTCCAGGTGTTCCCTGTGAGGAGGGGTGGGGCAACCTTCTCCCAAGTAGCCTTGCAGCCCTTCTCTGAGCTCCATGCTCCAGAGGGGAAGGCAGCTGTTCCTCGTCAGAGGGGATCTGCTGCCTATCAGCACCACTGCCTGTCAGCAGCTGATGCTCCCCTGTGTCTGTGAGGGCAGGCAGCTCTCCATCCAGTTGACAACCTCCCCAATGCTTGAGGGCCTGGGACAGCATCGTCCTCAGCCCCTGGTCTCTCCAAACATTCCCAGGGAGATGTGCAGACCGTCCTGGTTTCAACTTCTCCTCCGAACTGGGCTCCGATGGGGCCACGACATTAACCTTGTTACAGATGGCAATGTGCAGTTTACCATGTACAAAATGTATCTGTGTATTCTGCACAAAGTTCAGGAACCTAGATCACATTAATCAGATGGGTGCATATAGTTATTTAGAAGTATGTGCCTTGTGCAGTGGTTTATCTGTACATCATGGTTTTAAAAGGCATAAATTGCTTAGACGCTTTGATTTCTGAATATTAAGCTTCTCTATGTTAAGCCTGCAAACGTGTTAAAACATTGTGCTGGTCTACATAATAAATGAGCATGATCTTAATCTCTCCCTTACACACAAGGAGAGATTGAACATCAGGAGAAAGACACAGATCCAAGTAACTCTCTTCTGTAGCCACAGAATAATAAATTCTCATATATAAACTCAACATTATGCTATAAGAGGAAAACTAAACTCAAAACAGTTGCATTTTCCCTCTTAATGCAGAGAAACTAGCAAGGGTGGTATGAAGAACGGGAAATGTTAAAGCAAGAAATTCTTACTTGATACTGCAGAGGTGGAGGGGGCATCGACTCGTTGAAGTAGCAACCAAAGTTCCAGCAGATTTGGTTAATATAAATAATGGGAATTTAACAGGGGCCATAGACATTTTATTTTTATTAAACCATCATCAAGAGAAGTAAATTTACAGTGAAATGTTATTGTGGAAGTATCTTCAAATTCATTAACTACATTGGGTGGACTTCAGGAGTTATGTCTTCCAATCCAAGTAGTTGAGAAAGATGAATTCTGGATCTACTGCAATGGAAATATCAGTGGCATAAATCCCAACATTTTCATGAAGTAAATTTGCAGGAAAAAAATGGGAAATTTTCATTAGAACTAAATATTATACCATTTAGTTAGATACAAGCATATTTCAAAGAACATGTTATAGGTATGCTTAAACTTTAGAATAAGGGCACATCTTGGTTATTTTTCAGCCAGAGAACTATTGCCAGAATTGATTGCCATACTGCCAAATAATGCCCCAACATCCGATGTGGACAATGAGACCACGGCTTCTGTTTGCTATGCTTTGTACAACCTGACTCAAAACAATTCCTCAAATGCTCGGCTTCTCTTGAATAATGATGGCATTTCAAAGATTATGGATATCAGCACAAGTGACAGGTAGGTATCCATTCCTAAAATGAGTATCTGTACTACTAAATTTGCAGCAAAAAGTTGCATGAAGGAGAGAATTTTTCTGTTCTTGATTTTTAAAACATGTTTAAAGGGAGTCTGAAAATACATATTTTCATGGCCTCTGATCTCTTCTGCCTATCCTTTTCCTGTGCCCTTCACTTGGACCTTTTATTATTTCCCTACTAGGTTTCTTTTAAATTGAAATTCTGTGAAAACATTTTGTTCTTTTCAACTTCATGCTGCTATAATGCTGAACTGCTTTAAAAGTTGTTTTTATTACTGTTGTTCTCAGCAAAAGTGGTAGAGCTGCCTCGATTCTCTTGTATTCTTTGTGGTCTCATGCTGATCTCCATGGTGCTTACAAAAAGGTAAGCTAGCAGACAAGATGGGAATTTTTTGAAACCTTTTGTTTTTCCTACTTGGTATCAGTTTTCTTGGTTTTTAAATGAATGTCATACTTTAATTTCTTTTTGTTATTAGAAATATTTTAAGATTGAGCCCTAATTAACTCTATTAGAGATTTGGAATTGTTAATTAATATGGAAATGGACTTCATGTATTTTTGTTAGGTTTGCCATAGTACTACACCCTATCATAGAATGTGCTTTTGTGAATAGAATATGCAAAAACATTTTTTTGGCTGGACTAACACTTTCTGCTTCTGCATTCTTTCAAACAAGTAACACCTGTTTTCCCCCCTTAACCCTTTTTATTTTTTTCAAACAACGGGAAAGTCTGCTAGAGACAATACAACTAACACCTCCCCAAAGACTTCCAAGTTGTTGAAAGATTTCAGGCTGACCAATGAGCAAGAAAGTACTCCTTTCCATGTTAGGCTTCTCAAATACCCCACCTTCAAATTAGAGGGCTGCACTCAGATGTAAAAGTCTTAGGGTCAGTCCCAAAGAAGGAATGATCAAAGTGTCACTCGTAATGTGACCAAAAAAGAAAAACCATTAAATACATGACGGGGAAGCAATCCTATCAAATATGTTTAATTTCAATTCAGTGTGAAACTGAAAAGGAGATTTTTGATTTGTCCTGGACATAGCCTCCACCATACCAGTCAAAAAATAATTGTGGCATTTGGCCCAACAGAAGTTGCAGGTTCCTGCTTTAAATTGTAACATTCAGTTTGTTTCTGTAAAGGTCAACAAGCCCATTTAAATTAATGGAAGTTTTCCATATATGTAAATACAATATACACCATCAATCAGTGTCATATTAAATAGAATTTTAATTTCATGATTAACTTCTATGTTTACTTTTTTATGTAATACTACAGAAGGTTGTTTTCATAGGGATCATAATGCATTGCTCCCTACCCCATCACAATCCTGACAAATACATACTGTATTTTATATATTTGTTTATGATCATGATAACAATCTAGGCTAGTTGCCTCATATCTGGTATTCCCAGAAGTGTTGCGATTGCAGGTCTCCAAATTCCTAGGCAGCATGACCAACAAATAGAGGCCAATAGATATAAATATTTGGTCTACATCTTCCTGAGTCCCAACCTAATTTAAGTATCTTTCAGATCCACACTAATTTAAATCAATTAAACCAACCTCAAATCAATCTTAGAAAAAATGAATTGATATCCTTTCTAGATTCCCAAAGTACCTTCAGTAGGATATGCCTCTCATTCCTAATATATGTTTGATAACTTATCTTTGTGTATCCACTGAGAATTTACCTCCGTTTTTCTGGAATTGTAGTTAACTATGTTCCATTTCCTTTTTTTGTTTTTACTTTACAGGCTGGATATAAGAAAATGGATTTCATCAACAATCGAACATTAAGAGCCTATAATTCACTGAAAGACTGAAAACCTGGAAAGTTCTTAAAGATCTGTGTGGAAAAACAATACAGACTTATTATCATTGTTCACTCAGTACCAAGAACTGGGAAAGAGTGAAAGAGTGTTTTATTATTTACAGCGGGTGTCTGGAATAAAGTGCTGATCCCCATATTATCTGCCATTATAGCCTTGCTTATTGTTCCTCTTAAAATCAAGACTCATCTATAAACATAATGAAATCCAAGCTGAAGCCTAGCAAATAATTTTAATATCAAGCCTGAAACTGGCAACCACTGCACATATTATACTAGGTCAGTTTGAGGGCAATTGTCCATATCAATGTCTTCAGTTTATATCATGGGAAAGTAATAACCAAAGAAGATGAGATATGGGAATTCTTGCTGAAGTTTTGTGTTAGTTTTCTTTTTGCTAAACTTATTATAGTGAGTGAGTGCTTCATGCAAAACTGCCTCTTATCTGCAGACATTTTCTGAATATACAGACTTTTGTATAAACTGCTTTTGAGTAATATTTTCCTAGGTTGTAATTTTTCAGTATAATCCTCTTCATGCATGTATGGTTACTGTTTTTTTTAACTGAAGTATTGTTGAAGTAATTTTTAAAATTCCTTATACACGCAGCCTGA